CTGAGTAATATCAACTTTAAAATGTCATTTTGTCAAGTGACATTGCTTTCATGAAGCAAATTACAATCATCAAACAATAATATCATCATAGCACAAAATAAGTGCCACTTTATAAATCATTTTATTGACATATCAACTCATAGAAAAATGATTGTCAGAAATTTCTCCACTCACAAAAATGGTATCTCGATCAATGGATAGATGAAACCAATATGTGGATATTGTCATCTCAATTGCGACAACGTATGTAAACATTACATAAATATTGTAGAATTTGAATAGGAGTGTAATATATAGTTCTAAAGTGAATGCATACAAAATGTGACATCAGAAATGTAGACATACAATATTATGTTTCAACTCTATGAATATGAGTAAAAAAATTATAGATTGTTATAAATTTTTATCACATAATATTCTAAAAAATTGTCAATTATAATAATTTAATGTTTTAGTAGTACTTAATATCACATAATGTCACAAAGTAACAGTATATTTTTAAGATAGCACTCATATTCTTTTTTAAGAGAAATATTGTAATTTTATTTTAGACTTTTACATTATTTGAAACAAATTCCAACAATTTATATATCTGTAGTACTCTATAAAGAGTACTCCCTCTACCTCCTATAATTATCTTATTTTTTCATTTTAGATGTCCCTCTGTTGTTGTCTTATACTTAGTATTATACTTCCTCCGTTCTTTAATTCTTGCAACAGTTCGACTTTCACGTTTGCCAACGTACAACTTTGACTGTAATTATATTTAATTATGTATTAGTAAACATTATAAAAAATTTGATATTTTGGAAATTCACATTAATAGGAATTTAATAACATTTTATACGTAATATGTGGCTCTAATTCATTCCTACTTTATTCTCACTTTATCAATTTATTATCAACTTATTAAGAAAGGAAGCGAGAATACGTCTTGGGTCATGTAATTCCATTTGACATGCGCAGCTGTAAAGTCACAGCACACGCGTCAACAGTTTAGGGGACGAACCGTGACGTGGGCTAATGACATGAGCCGGTGCGCCTTTACCCATGCAGCGCACGTTAGCCCCTCGCGCGTATTTATATTCAATTTTCCCACCTCTTTTCATGTCTTCCCCCATTCCTCTATCAGTCAGACAGTCGCCCACTGGCGTGCTCTTTAATCAATAAATAAAGAGATAAATAGTCGCCTAAAATATTCATTTGCTTCCTTCTCTTCTCTCCATCATAGCCGTCTTCTACACCCGCTAATCTCTTCTTCTTCAATATATATACATACACATACTTTGTTGATTAAATTGTTGTGAAATTCTCCTTCAATTCCTGATCTTAAAAGGTATGAAAATTTCACTTGATTATGAATTTATTTGGATCTCTCTGTCTGATCTGTTCATATGAAAAACCGTGATTACGGACATATCTGTTCATATAGATTTATACGTATATCATATACGTACTGTGTAGCTAGCAGATGATGGAGGATCAAACCCAGTGGAGGACCTAGGGAGGGGCCTAGGGGGCAAGTGCCCCCGCTTTCGATCAGGAATTTCACTACTAGTACTTAGAGTAAAATCAATGTCCCGCTTGCGGTCAAGAATTTCACTACTACTAGTTCGGGTAAAATCAGTGCCCCCAATCCGTACAAAAAATTATCAATATTAGATAATTAAGATACTAAAATGTTACGGTTATATAAATTAGAAGTTAATACACGATATTTAAATTTGAGCTGAATTAAAATAAAAGATCTCAAAAAAGGAGAAGAAAATAATTAAGATTTTTTTCTTTTGATAGAAAATAGTTAAGGGTTGAAAACCCAAAAAGTTAAAATGTAAACAGTAACCAAATTAATGTGCAGCCATCTTAAAGTAATCTAAAACAAGTAAAAGTTTAAAAATGAAATCCACTAATAACTCACTATTACTCTACAAGGCAAAAGGGGGAAAACTTCCAAAATATAAACCCTCAAGAACGTTTACACTCTGGTCTCTTTCTGGGGCTACCTCTGCAGCGCCGCACCGCCCAATCATCCGTTCATTTGTATTTTGTAAGTTTCTTTAGATGATTATCTTACATATTGCTTGATGTGCTACATTGAGAGAGATGTTTTTAAAAGTATTGATAATGAAACTATTATGCAACATTTTCAGAATATGAAAACTCGTAGTATTAATTACCAAAGTTGCAAAAATGCAACATTTTTTGTGCCAAATAGCACGTGTCAAAATGTTTTTGGTACGGATTTGGCATTTCCCTCCCAAAATTCCTGCCAAATCTCTGCCAAAATCTCTGCCAAAATCCCTGCCAATCCCGTACCAATTACTTGGAGAGTGGTGGTGGTGGTGGTGGTGGTGGTGGTGGTGGTGGTGGTGGTGGTGGTGGTGGTGGTGGTGGTGGTGGAACACACCACAACTGCTGGTTGTGATGTGGACCTGATTCAAAACCCTCAGTTTAACAATCCCGTCTATGTAAAGATTAATGATAGAGAGAAATTCGGGGTTGTCCGAAAAGGTCAATGGTTTACGCCGTAAGAGTCTTCTACTCCATAGCATTTTTTCAAGTAATTGGTCATGATATCAATGAAGCACGGAAACTCTCTAGAAATAACATGTTTCTATTTCGAAAACTAGTTGAAACCCTCAAGAAATAGCAAGTTTCCGCTTTGAATACTGTTTTGAAACTCTCCAAACAATTGTTTTTTAATATTTTATTAAAAGCTGATCTATGCGTGCAACATAGACTTGCGGTTTATATTATATGAACTCTCATTATTCCTTCCATATTGTGTCACATCTTTTGTCTTTCAAAGAATGGTATTGTGCAAGCATTTATCGGTCTATGGTATTCTGGACTCACTTAGTGGGACCAGTTATACTTAAAATCCTCTAATTTCATAGTACATACTACTTAATTTGCATTGTGAGCTTGAGCTTTATGTATTGCATATCTTTCCCAATTGATAAGGGCCGAGTACCCTCAGGAAGATAGTTTGCTTCTACATGCTATAGTTCTAAATGTGCACCCATTAAAAGTTTGTAAACACCCATTGTGAGTCCACACCTATTAAATATTTCAAATATAAAATTAATACATAAATTATCTTTAAATGCATATATTAGAGTAGCATGTGTAAATTGAAAACAACGTTCCTTGAAAATTTCGGAATAATAACAATTTGAAAACAAAATGTCTTACAAATTTCGGAATACTTGCTTAAATACAACATTAGTTGTTACATTGGTACTTTTGTCATCTGCATCACATATAGCTATTTTCAAACTTGCATGATTAGTGACACGTGAAAGCGCAACGTATAACTGACCATGACTAAAATATAACTGACCATGACTAAAAATAGGTTTTTCCAAGACTAATCCAACATTGGACAATGATTGCCCTTGACTCTTATTTATCGTCATAGCATATGAGACAATCAAAGGAAATTGTCTTCTTTCGAACTTGAAAGACAATCTCACATCAGATGGAGTCAAAGACATTCTAGGTATCAAAACCTTCTCACCTACACTCAACCCTGTCAAAACTTTTGCTTCCAAAATATGCTTACCTAATCTGGTAATAACCATCCTAGTCCCATTACAAAACCCTTGAGAATGATCAATGTTCCTCATTAGCATCACTGGTGTTCCAACTTTAAGATGCAGTTCAAGATTTGGAACTCCTGAAACTTCAATTCCGCTAAAAAGTCAGGATTTGAATCTAATTTACACGGGCTATCAGAACTAAGGTAGGTTTTCATCTCGGAACCATTTAAGGAAAGCATGTAATCATTGATGGAATCAACAACTTGGAGAGTGGGTGCCAATATTGCTCTCTTTCTAAATAATTGGGATCTTCATGAACGGTGGCATCAAAGGAAGGATAAATGCCTTCAACCATTTTTGTTATAGGATCATCAAAATCTTTTAACAACAACTCATATGGAATCTCAATCTCCACAAAGCCATCGTTTGGTCCTCCAACAATGCCATCACCAATAAAGCTTCATTCAACCCTTTAAACATTTGTGTCAAGATTTATGTGTCACCATGCAATAAAGCTTCATTCAACCCTTTAAACATTTCACACCTCAAATTGCTCGATTCAACCTTAACCTGCTCGATTCAATCAGAGTATAACCACAAATTTCAACCTTAACCTGCTCGATTCAATCAAAGTATAACCATCAACAACAAATTGCTGAAATAACCTCTTAGCATGCAATATAATGAATATCTCTGTATTTCTTGCTGAGATACACTCCCTCTGTCCCAAAATGATAGTCCTGTATTTTCTTTTGGGGATGTTCCAAAATGATGGTCATGTTTCCCTTTTGGAAAGAAAGATGTGGTCCATATCATTTCACTTTATTATACTCAAATCTCAATCACAACTTTTACCTTTTCAACTACTTTATTAAAACTTGTGCCCAAAAGAAATGAGACTATCAAATTGGGACGGAGGAAGTATTAAACTTTTAAAATCCATGGACTTTTAATACTCCCTCTACATCAGTGTGTTTTGTTAAAAAAAATAAAAAATTCATGAGAACATATGCGTGTTCATGGAATATCCGTGGGGCTATAAAGGATTGTCAAATTGATACTTTTAGGTGTATTCAATGTGGACTTTTAAAAGTCTACAAAAATCTAGGTGTATTCAATGTAGACTTTTAAAAGTCTATAAAAGTCTAGGCATATTCAAAGTTCCATTCATTCTTATGGATTTCTAAAATCATGGATTCTCGTGGACTTTTAACTCATTATTAGTACATTAATTCTCTTTGATTGTCTCTTCTCCTCACTAAAGATTTCCGTGGACTTTTCTTATATCGGTTCTTCATCCCGTCCCCCCACCCCACCCCGTCAACTCTCCTCTTCTTTAACCAAGTCACCACTTCCCCTTCGATCTTCTTCTTCAGCCTAGCTCGCTCCACCCCTCTCTTTCCATTCTTTTTCTTCTTCAGCTTGCCCCACCCCCCTCGATTCGTTAATCCCATACTGGTTCAATTCTAGAAGTTTCTAGAATGACTGGTATAAGAATCGATAATATTACATCAGTGCAATTCTGGTACGTCGTCACTTAACCATTAAGAAAATAAATATTTTAACTATTACTTTCTTTCATCGTTAAATCACTAACACATAAAAATATAATTTCAAATTAATAAATATATAACCGTTTACAAGAAAGAAATGAAAAGAAAATAATTATTAAGAAGATAAACTCGATTGCAACTGTGCTTGTACCACATGTAGCAATGAGTGTAACGGTTGTGTAACGATTAATGTTTTTACTCATTAATAAAATGACCAAAATTCTTGAGCATTCTTGAAACTTTGAGTTTTTTTAATAAAAATAAATTTGGATTCATATGCTTCATTTATTCTTGTAGAACTTTGTGTTGCTATATGAATTACATTTGTTTAATTTATTTCTTATCATACTATGTATTATACGGAGGAAATTATTCAGGGTAGGACTAAAACATACAGAGTAGCATTCTTCTTAAAGTATGATCATATGTTTGATTTCCTTAAATAGGACTAAATATTACATATTCACCCCTAATTTAATTAATTAATATAAGTAATTGTCCATAATTCTCTTGCATAACCAAATCGACTTTGTTGGTGGCGGATCAGTTCGATGACGGCAGCGGGGAACTCAAGTGATGGAGGCGGACGGGCAAATCGGTAGTGGCGGTCTAGGTGAAAATTTCGACGACCAGCAGTGATGGTTCGCATTTAAAAGTTTATGGACTTTTTGAAAGTCAATAAACTTATCCATGGATTTAAAAAACCATAGAATTCATTCATAAAAAAGTCTATGAATTTAAAAGTCCATTGACTTTTTTAAAAGTCCACGGATTAAAAAAAATCCACCACAATCCATATTCAATACATCCCTCTTCATGACATCTTTCAGGAATCTTTCAGGAAATACAACCCCCCCCCCAAACACACAGGACCGTGCCTTATGTAAGGCTGGAGAGGCCCAAGCCTCAGGGCTCCAAAAAATTGGAAAAATTAAGGGTCCATTTTTTTTACAATAATTAGTATTATACATATATGTATTTTATATCTAATTAGTCAACCCCTCCCAATTAAACCAACCTGCCCCTGCAATTTGCCGTTTGCGAAAGATACCAGCAGTCGAGAAATTAGGGATTGAAGCGAACTAGCGAAGAGGCGAAGCGGTCATGGACTCACGAGCGAAGGACTGGAGGAGGATTGGAGAAAATCCTTGTCAGGAGTCCTTGTCGGCCTTCTCTGTCCAACTATTTTTTTTTGTTTAGGGTTATCATTTATCAATATTGCAATTATGGAATTCTCGATTTACAATTAGTTAAATTATGATATTATATGCTTTGTATTTTTAGAGAAAAATTACTATTATACTCCCTCCAGTCCTTAATTAACTTTACACTTTCCTTTTTGGGTCGTCCTATATTAAACTTTACACTTTCTTATTTGCCTTATTTGACAAACAAATCTACACCAAACAGTGCCAAACAGTGTCAAACAGTGTCAAACAGTGTACTCTACAGTAAAGTCAAATTTATTTCCTTAATGTGTGAAGTCAAAGTGTAAACTTCATTAAGGATCAGAGGGAGTATATTGTTAAGGATACCACTAAATTATGTATTTTTTATTTTTTAGAACCACTACATTATGCGGATGTGATAAATATTTTTGCATCTAAAATTGTTCGACGAGTTGTACTTAATTAGTTTTTAGTACATTCAGTAACATTTTGTTATCATGTAAGACTTTTATTTAAGAATTGTGGTTTTTTATATTTAATCATTGAATTTTAGTGAATTATATGACAAACAAATACTATGTATAGGACTCATTTATGATGCTCGCCTCAGGCTCGAGTTTAGTTAGGATCGGCACTGCAAACACACCACAAAAGAAATTAGCACAGCCACCACTACATTCCCATTCAAAATTAGAAAGTGTTAGCATGCTCTACCTCCCAGGCCAACTTGTTTAAAAAATAGTATCGTGATTTTGCTTTTCCAACCTTCACAGTTTGGTGTTGCTTCGGGAATTTGGATTTGCAGGGTTTTATATATACCCAGAGGCGGGAAGATACACACTACCAGCAAGGCAGCAACCTGTGATTCAATATAACATTAATTAAATTATTGAAAATTTCAAAACATCTTTAAGAAGCTGCAAGGTCACGAACAACTCTGGAGAGGTTTTACATTATTTTAATTAGACAAACCATTAATTATTAATCCCTGTTTCGGCTAATTAATTGTACCAATTTCTAGAAATGTGAGGAAGACCAGCCAATCGGATAGTCTTTCTATTTTAATTAGTTAATTATTAAGTATATCCTAAAAATGTTAGCTACATTGTTCCCGCCCAAACTCCACTCCCATTGTAAGACAATGTCAACTGAACTTTACACTTGTTAAAACTTGCTAGACCCTCATATGTGTTACGTTTTGGAGTGGATAGTACCTGCAAATAATACTCCGTGGGAGTTTATAGCAGCTCTTCGCCTCTTCTGCAAGTTCACGCTCGCAATCCCTCTCGCATTTATGCACTGCTACAATTATGCACATTATATTTTATCATATCCGTAATAGAATTTTTTAGTGAATTATTTTTTTGATGTCCATCCACAAGTTTAGCCTAATTAAATACCTACCAAACATGCATAGAGTGAAGCTAGAAAATCAAAATCATCAACTGCATTCTCAAGCTAATGACTTCCTTCAAATTACCAGCGCCCTATATACCTTACCTGTCCTCAAACTGAAGTTTCCTTATGAACAATTTGCAATATTGCCTACTCAATATATAGGTGACTCTATGGTGAAACATGTTCCGGGGCATTGGTGATTGCAATAGCTACCACTTATGCCTTCGTAGATAAAGTGGATTTGTGTGGTTGATATTAAATTGATAAAGTAAGAATGAGTTAGAGCCACACAATCTTTATCAAATTTGGTATGGGACAATCTTAGTGGGACTTTCCGAAAAGGTAAAATGGAACAATTTTAGCGGGACGGAGGGAGTAATATACTTTTAGAATATCTATAATCAATCTTATGTAGTAATACACATAGTAATACACAATCTTATGTAGTAATCAATGTATCAAGAATTTTAAAGGACACCTAGTTCTATTCATTTTTTAGAGAAGTGTAACCACACAATTATTGTGAGTTGCTCCACTCACCCGTTGCACTTTTCCTTGGGGATGTCAAGAGAGCTCCAAGACACGTTCCATATAATTAATGCTGCAACACTTTGAGTTTTTTTTAATTAGTAATCAACATAAATGCAGGAGTATTAAGTTTAACACGCCCCTCAGATCTTCAATGTGGCAGATCCACAACAGAATCGAAGTACAACTTCTTTTGGAAACAAAAATTCTTACATTTAATAATCGTAAATGATCAAGGGACTAAAAACAGAGCAGCTTTCACCAACCAGCTAAATCAAGAGCAGGAGTTCAAAACGCCCGAAGATAACATCTGTAACATGTGGAGGAACTAATAAAAAAGGCACTTGAATATCATCTCAACTTTAGACCATCAAGCCATTTGAGCGATGGCATAAGCTCAAAGAGCAACAGCTTTAACTTTTTGTCATCAGAAACAGCATTCCCCGCCATATCCAGTTGTGTCACACTCAGTTTCTTAAAAACCAACAGCGCTTGCAAATAATTAGTAGCCACTAATTCCTCAATGTTACATGCGCTCCCACTAGAAAGGCACAGGGGTGAAGAAGAATAAAGGTACCTCTTTGTGTCAATTGAATGTGAGCCAATTTCATTGTATGAGATGTCCAATACTTTTAGAGATCTTAGCTGCCTGAGAGGCTCTAATGCAGTGAAACTGCTAAGCAAGTTCTTGCTTAGGTTTAAGCAAACTAGTTGCTGCATTGCCTCCAAACCTGCACCAACATTGAACATCCATTGCAAATACTGGTATAGTAGTCTTGAAAGTAAAATCATTTCCAGTCTTATCTTTTTGAAAAAAATCAGCTTAGATATGCAAAATAGGCAAATTCTTGCTACCCATATTGAAGTAAAACAACACACATGCACTGATGAAAATAAAACATTGAAGTAAAACAACACACATGCACTGATGAAAATAAAGGATTGCATTAAACTGACATGCCATGTTTGGCAAAAAATTGAAGGGGGAAATCCAGAATATATTTAGCGGACTAGCGAGAACCTCAGAGAAGCAGAAAGAAAAACTTATTAAAAGACCCCCCCCCCCCCCAATCAAATAAAAGAAAAAAACACTAAAAGATAATTATTACTACCTCTGTCCCGTTATAATTGTCTCATTTTACCTTATCAGTCCGTCCCACTAAGATTGTCTCATACCAAATTTGGCAAAGTTTGTGTGGCTCTAAATCATTCTTACTTTATTCTTACTTTATCAATTCAATATCAACCACATAAACCACTTTTTATTGATTTGCGTGTCACTCCCTCTTGTCTCATTGTTAGCGGGACGGAGGGAGTATTACAGAGAAAGTAGTTCATAATCAACTATAGTCAGATAGTGGGATTTTGTACCTTCAATGGACCGAAGCTGATTGCAGCTAAGATCTAGGATCTGGACCCACAAAAGTTTCTGAACACAACCAAGTTGGGTAAGTGAGAGATTATTTAGCCGCAGACATAAATAATTATGGAAGATTGAAGATGGTTCTTGATATTGACTGCAACACTCCATCAATGACTTTTGATTGCGGAATAACTGCAAAGGGAGTAAGGGACAATAAGAAATGAAGACATTGTAACAAATTCTGTCGTTATATTATATGCTCCCTGCATCCAAGTCTTGCTTGGTCAAAGTAAAGTCTTAAAAGTCATGGAACCCTATTAATATTTTTTTGAATTAAATTTGGCAGCTGTACTAAATTTATCATAATGAACTTGTTTGTGCCTATATTGGCAAATTACATGAAATATTACATCGACTTTATGAAATATGATTCTATGTCGGGATGGGAGAGGGGATAGAAAACCGTTTTATAAAATTTCTCCACATAATATCACCTGAGTGGCCATCATTGCTTATTTGAAGTTCACATATAAAAAGAAACACTTAGTCAGTTACTTGGGGTACACTTTAGCCCTCTAGGAAATTTCAGGTACTGTGCTTGTTTTTATGTGCCCCAAATAGCAAAACCTGACCAAAACTCGGAAAATGTAGTAAATGGCCTTCAGAAGGCCACATGAGAGGGAAAAGTTTTTCAGAAGCTCCAAAAGAGTTTCTTTTTGGGCGCTTATCAGTTTGATGAATGAGCAAATAACAATATGAAGTTATATTTCAAGCATATGACAAAAAAAACATTCTTAGGTGATCCATGGGAGGAAGAAGCTTACCTGTTTTAGCAAAACAGAGCTGTATTCATCTTTATAGTGCTGAATGTGCGGTGGATCCAATTTCATTAAATTATCGTACAACTGAAGAACTTCTTCATAGTGATTGCCAGCATTTGTGCCATCACATGACAGCAATTTGTCGCGTGCCATCAACAATCTTGCAAGTGTTAACTTTCCAATTTTACTGCAAAGAGAAGTGTTAATTTATAGAGAAGATCATATATATACAGCATGTTGAGCATTCCAATGCACATAGCAGATAAAGGCATAGAGCTTACCAATTGTCCGATGATAATAGCTCCCTGCAATGAGCTATCTCACTATCAACTATCTGAATCTTCCAATCCAAGTCCCTTTCTTTTTCATCTATAGGTATTCTCAATTGATGGGATGCGTTAAATAAAACTGACTGGGAAGAAACAGTTTCATTTCTACAGAACTTTTCCTCAGTTAGAAAAATCCTCTTTTCATTTTCTATCGGTATATGTTCTGAATTCTTAGGGGGTACGTGTACGGTAAAGGTTAGTTCAGTAGAATCACTCATGTAAACAGAGCCGTTCAAACAAACTATGCCTTGGGAACTGGAAAGGCTGACCTTTACATTATAAAACTCTAAACATTGGACATCATCTGGAAATCTGACATAAGTTAACCAGGCTTGTGCGTACCCAATACCATTTCCTGAGAGTGGTCGCCAAGAAATATCTGTATTCAAATTACCTTCACATTCAACCTTGACTGTTGATGAACTTATATTTTTAACTGCTTCACTAAAGTAGAGAATGAGAGGAAGTGTTCTAGGATTAGACAAAATATAATTATTATCAAGCAACCCATCCGTTGACAAATGAAGACTAGAGTCGTGAGGTGGCCATGAAGATACCAACAAATTAGTTTTTTGAACTGTCTGGTCAAGAAGCCAGAGATGGTAAAACCAACCACTTTGATCATCTGGATCTGTAAAAAGAGCATTACGAACAAACTTAAACTCTTCTGTCAACACACTCTCCTTGGGAAAAAATCCTTTTGCCTTCTCGTTCAGCAGCCGACTAAGTAGAACACTGTACAAAAGTCATTTAAAAAATAAATTAGGGAAGGATTAGTGTTTAGTGTGTCATAAATACAATATATCGAAAACCCTCCTGGTGAATAATTTTCTAAATGCATCTGCAGTCGAACTTATGTTTTTTGAATGAATGCATCGTTTGTGTTAATTAGGCCCCTCTCTGCTCAATCAGACAGTCGAGGATCATTGCATTGTACGTATTTTGTATGCCCATGAAAATTCTATATTTTACCATTTATTCCATAAAGTTGCATTGATAATTGTTAACCAAGCATTCATTAACATCAATAGAATAATGTTGAGTTCAAACAAGGATGGTTTTATTCAAAGATGACACATTTTTATTAACCACAAACTTTGGTAGTTGTAATCACAGTATACCTACGGTTGTGCCAAGCAGAATAATTGCTCATATTGTCTTCTATCATGTCTGTTGTATATTGTAGTTCATCCTTATCTAGAATGTTCTTCAATGATGTAATAAACCTGAAAGAGCATATCAAAGGGAAATATGATAACATGCTAAAGCCTCTCAATTGTACCAACAAAAAATATCCAGTAATATGACCTCCTATAATTCCAAGCATGGAAATTCCGAGAATCTGCCTTCTGGAACTTAGCCAGAAGCAATAATTCTCGGTCGGTGGAAGAATGACCTTTGCTTAGCACCCACTTGCGGTGATACCATGCTCCATAAGACTTGTAATTTCTCCGCAATGCGTTCTCCACCTAATTAAATTTGTTCATGACTTTATAAAATTAAAGAAAAAGCATAAATTAGCATGTAGCTAGTATCCTGTATCCCCCCCACAAAGCACAAGATTTGAAACAGAAAACCCCTAGTCTTTTCAGTCAAACTATAAAATTCTACAAGTAGCTTTCTTTTTTTATCTCCCTATGCCCAAATTATGAACAAAAACAACAAAATCTACTCAACAAGTCGATAGTAAATATAAAGAAAAGCTGCAACTTTATATGATGATAAGCGTAAACATACTAGTCTGAGTTCTTCATCTAGAATAGTTTTGATAGACTCCGCATTGTTAACATTGTCAAATTGATGAAGACGGTCCTCTACAGCGAGCTTCCGGTAATTCCAGGCTGTGTAGTGCTCTGGATTAACCTCGAGCAGCTTCGCGCTTACTTCAATCGCTTCTTTATTATAACTGCAAAAAGTATACAATATAATGAGAGATTCAATGGTAAAGCTAGGGTCTCAAATTCATGAAATGGAAACTCGAAGTTACTCGGAGTATTGTAGCTTTTATTAAATTAGCGAAAAAACAATTTCTTTCAGGATATACATTTTATTGTGATGATGGTGGATGAACTGAGCTTGGAGAGATCGAAGCTTCGCTGATTTGACCGCAGAAGCTTCTAGCTCGTCTTGGCTTGGAGCTCTTCGTGGTATTCCATGCATTTTTCACACGAATTAGGTCAGAGACCACAGGTGAAGATTGAAGAAGATAAAAAAAGATTCAGGCGAATGAATCATGACTGTTTATGTTAGGCTAGCCGTAAAAGATTCAGGTATTTGTTTAATTTTTTTAGAATATGAATTCGAATTCAAATATGAAATGAATATTAATTTCGATTTGTATTTGTATTTGTATTTGTTTAATAATACGAATAGTTAACGAATCATATACGAATATTGAATCGATTTGAGCATAGGTTAAATATTAGTCAAATATCACACTAAAATAACTTTTCTTATACTCCTTATTTTTTATGTTGTAAATGTGTGCTATGACTTAATATGTATTTTTAAGATTTAAATTTAATGGATCGATGCATGTTTAGATGGTGCACAGTATGTTAAAGTGAATTAATTTTATGATTAACAAATATAAATATATTTCAATCTTTTTGAAATAAACACTAACACACACATATTAGAAATTATACTTATAATGTGTGAAATAAGTTGATAATTGTATATATCTGTTGGGATATTGACCCGGAGGCCCAATACTCGGATTAAAATGGCCCAGGATATCTAGCCCAAACAACGAGTCCACTACCCTATGATGAGTAGGCCTAGTGAAGAATCCATACCGAACGAGGTTCGGTCCAAGTAGAGGTCGGCCCAGAAAGCAGAAATACCGAACGGAGTTCGGATCATACATCATACTTGGGCCAATTTGGCAGCGTCTTCCGCATGGTCCAGCATCCCGTTCGAGCAACGGACAACCAGCAAGTGGCCAGGTGCAATTAATGCCAGATTGTGACATCAGCAAGTGGAAACATGGGTGATCAAGTCGGTGGAACAACGGTCAATCAGCATAGAGCAGCCCATGCATGCTCTCCATTAGTATAAATAGAAGGTTTAATATCATTGTAAGGGTTAGCATTTTGATACTCAGGCTCTAGAATAGCATTATTACTCTCGTTTCTGGTATCGGAAGCATAGTTCCGACGTACCGATCGAGAAGTTTCCTTGTAATCAAACAGATTAATTAATACAAGTGAGCTTTTGAGTATTCGTTGATTCATCTTTTATATTTCGTTATACACTTTGATTCTGATCCATTCCTGAGGTATCCAAAGTTCGTGTTGGGCTTTCGGATCTACGGGACATAACCTCAACATTGGCGCCGTCTGTGGGAAACATTCAAAAAGTTTCACATCAATTATCCAAAATAACTATTTTTGAAAATGGTCAAAATCAGTTCTTATCACACAAATGATGGTTCGCGCTGTCACGGAAGGAGTCAAACACCGAGAAACCTATCCCCTCAGGGACAATCCAGCTGAGGATCATATCCTCATTATGGTGGGGACTGTCATTCCTCAGGCCATGCGAGATATGGCCCAGGTCATGCAGCACATGGCAAATGAGGAAGAAGGAGGATCCAACTTCACAGGGGAGACTCCACACACAGAAACAACCACGACGTCATCCCACTCATGGGCCCATCGGGATAATCGACGTGGCGCTCCAACTGCAGCGCATCGTATTCCCAGTGATCGGACCCCATCGGGTCACAAGCCAGGGGACCTACTCCTATTGGCCGTCATTTCCAGCATGCCAAACGGAATTATACTAGGGCCACGCAGAGGCACTGGGATCGGGAGTATGTAGATTTGAGGACTCCACCACCGCCCCCTTTGATGGCCCAGGAGGAAGAAATGGCCGAAATGAGGAGGCAGATGAATGAAATGAGATCGAGATCAGATGAATAGGGCGCCCGTACAACCTGCTCCGATCCAGCTCGGGATCACTTCCCCTTTCACCAGGGAAATTATGTATGCGGATATCCAGGGATGTGCCAAACCACCGACCGGTTAGATTTATGATGGGGTAGGCGATCCCCAGGTCCATTTAAGGAGTTATCAAGGAGGACTCATGCTACTAGGAGCGCCCGAGGCTGCCATCTGCCGATTGTTCTTCAGTACGATCAGAGGACCCGCTCAAGAATGGTTCGGGATCCTGCAACCTGGGTCGATCAGCAGTTTTGCCGAACTATCAACGTTGTTCTTGGCCCAATTTGCCTCCAGTACCAACCCAAAGCGGCATTTCAGCTACCTGACTAGCGTAAAGCAGAACTCCAAGGAGACCCTCAATCAATTCTTGAAAAGGTGGAGGGTCGAAACTCTGACGGTCAGAAACATGACGGATGACACCGCCATCACCCTATTCACTAACGCTCTCCGAACGGGAGAATTTTACAAGGATTTGAAGAAGTATCCGGGTACGGCGTATGCCGAGGTGTTAGACAGAGCCCGCAAGCATGCTGCCCTGGAAGAAGAGATTATGATCAGGGACAAGGTCGTTGCGCCTTCTGCCCCAATCAAGATGGCCGATCGGCTGGGTCCTACCCCAGTGGCCGCTCTCCCTCCTAAGCAAGGGCGATTTACTCCTCTGGTCCTGTCCGTGGCAACCATTTATCAGAACGAGAAGGACAGCATTCCCCTTCCGACCGATTCTTCAAATTATATGGGAGCAGACGAGTCTGCTTTTTATAAATATCATAACAGGAAAGGTCACGCCACCAATGCTTGTAGGGCACTACAAACGGCCATTGAGGACTTGATCCAACGGGGTCATCTAGGCAAGTATGTAAGTAAAGACCCGAATGCGGTATGCACTTTAAAGCCGATCAGGAAACCCAACAGCTGGCAACGGGATGCCCAGCCCCAGAATGACGTATATATTCCTCCCAGAGACGAACCAGAGGGCTCGGGAGGCCCCGGAAAGAAACCTCGAATGGAGGTCAAAGTTATATTTGGGGGCGGGGAAACAGGGGATTGGAACGCCGAACAGAAGGTTCGAGTGAAGTCTTTATGTAGGATCCATCTCCACTCCCCCCAGAAGAAAGGAAGGACGGACCCAATCACATTTGGGTCGGCTGATTTACCTAACTCGCCAAGCCCGCACAGGGATGAATTGGTGGTGAGCATGTGCATTGACAAGTCTTTGATTCGTCGGGTACTGATCGATACCGGGAGCAGTGTGAACGTATTGTATTTACAATCGTTCGAGAAAATGGGCCTACAGAGAAGTCAACTGACCCACCTAAGAACTCCACTGGCAAGCTTCACCGGTAACTGTATTGAGGTTGAGGGGACCGTTCAACTGTTAGTTGAAATTGGGGACGAAATGCACAAGGCATCAGTCCGAATGACGTTCGTGGTGGTGGACATAAAATGTGCCCATAACGCCATTTTGGGCTGACCGGGATTGGAAGATCTGGAGGCAATAGCCTCTGTCCGCCACTCGTGCATCAAAATCCCCACGAACACTGGGGTTGGGGTGGCCAGAACAGATCCGGCGAAAGCCTGAACGTGCTACCGAGAGGCCCTAAAGCAGATGAATACCCGGGAATGCGGGTTAACAGTATTGAGGTGGAGACCCACCGAACAGAGTTCGAGGCGCATCCAGAACCTGCTACTCTCCTCGAGCAAATTGACCTGGACTCCCCCCCGAAGCAAAAGGTAGCTATCGGGGTGGATCTGGAGGCTGAAATTCGGGATGGCGTGATTGCCGTCCTAAAAAAGTTTCAGGTATTATTCGCCCGAGGGCCGGAAGATATGTCGGGCATTGACCCAGAGATAATCTGTCACAAGCTTGCCATTCGGCCTGATGCAAAACCGGTGCAACAAAAGAAATGACACCAAGCGACCGAACGGTGGGATTTCACAAAGCAGGAAGTGGCCACCTTGCTAAGAATAAAACACATCCGTCTGGTAATCCATGTCGAATGGCTATCCAATGTGGTCCTAGCCCCAAAACAATCGACTTGGAGGATGTGCGTGGATTACTCGGATCTGAATAAAGCTTGTCCCATGGACCCTTATCCGGTGTCGTGGATCGATCTGTTAGTAGATGAAATGGCCGGGTGTGAATTGTTGAGCTTCATGGATGCATTCCGGGGATATCATCAGATTTTCATGCACCCAGACGATGCAGAGAAAACAGCGTTCGTTACCTCGGATGATGTGTTTTGCTATATTGTCATGCCTTCGGGTTAAAGAACGCAATGGCAACTTTTCAAAGGATGATCGGGATGCTCTTCAAAGAGGTGTTGGGAGTCACAATGGAGGCTTATGTTGATGATATCCTGATCAAGAGATGGAAGAAGGAGAATCATATCCTGGACATAGAAAAGGTGTTCGGGATAATGCAGAAAGCTAACATGAGGCTGAATTCCAAAAAATGTGCTTTTGCTGTGAGAGGGGGCAAGTTTTTGGGATACATGATGAGCGAGAAGGGGATTGAGCCCAATCCTGAAAAGGTAAAGGCAATTGTGGATATGGAAGCTCCTAGAAATCTCAAGGAGGTGCAGAGATTGACCAGTCGGTTAGTAGCCTTGAGCAGATTCCTATCCAAGCTAGCCGATCGAGCTATTCCATTCTTCCAGATCATGAAAAAAGCCAACCCCTTTGAATGGACCGTCGAATGTCAAACGGCTTTTGAAGATTTCAAGGCATACCTGTATATGTACCTTGCTGTAGCTGACCTGGCCGTGAGCACGGTATTATTGAAAGAAGAGGATGGCATCCAGCGGCCGATCTATTTTGTAAGCAAGGCTTTGAACGGGCCGGAAACCAGGTACACCTTACTGGAGAAAACAGTACTGGCCCTAATAGCTGATATTAAACGTCTAGCACCATACTTCCAGACCCATCTGGTAACTGTGTATACTACTCAGCCACTCGCCACCATCTTGAGAAACCCAATGGCAAGTGGGCGCATTACAAAATGGAGTCTCCTAATCAGACAATATGAGGTGGATTTCAGGCCTCGACCTACTATCAAAGGGCAGGCCCTTGCGGATTTCATTGCAGAATGTACCGCTCGGCCTTCGGAAATAGATTCAGAAAATAATGTGCTGGATAGCTGGTGGGAGATGTATGTGGATGGTGCATCTAGTGCCAAGGGTTGTGGAGCCAGAGCTGTGATCACATCGCCCGAAGGGTTCAAAGCATATTACTCCATTCATTTTGACTTCAAAGTAACCAACAATGAGGCCGAATATGTAACACCCCGGCCTCGCAGGACCCGAGGTAGCTACTCTAGACCAATAG